ATTAGGGTCTTTTCCAGGGAGTCTTCTCATGAGAGGGTCAAAGTATTGGAGCCTCAGCTTCAAGATCTGTCCTTTTAGTGAGCACTCAGGGTTGATTTGAAATGCAACCCATCTAGGAGAAGGAAAACTCCGATTTCAAACCTCCACTGCCTTGTGGCTATATCCACTCGTGGAAAAGGCTTCAGGAGTTAACCTAAAGGCAAAATCCGGAGCTGGAGTCCCGAAGGCAGTTTCGTTCTGCCAACTCCTGCGACGTTGCTGGAACCTATTGTATTGGCTCTTGCCTTTCCATTGGACCATTTCAGCAATGTGGAGAGGGGGGATTTGCTGCTTGGGTAACAGCCTATCCTCCTTATTACTTTACCCAGGCTTCATGCTCTGGAGAGGACATTCCTCAATTTAGAGCATGTTACCATGGTCTCTCGAGACTGAAGGATGCCTATGAGGGTTGATTTCCTTCCGAATGGATAGGTTTGTTCTCTTTGCAGTCCAGGGGACTCTTCAGCAGTTTCCTCCAGCACCACAGTTCAAAAACATCAATTCTTCGGTGGTCAGCCTTCTCTATGGTCCAGATGACGAGTACTCAGGTTTAACAAGAACATCTTTGTTTAACAAAAGAAGCGCTGGCTCCACCACCTCTTGTATGGATTCCTCTTATAACATCAACAGATGGGACTTGTATAAACTGTCCTTAACAACATCAAAAGCCATCCCTTCAACTGTTGGAGAACTCCACCAAACCTCTGCTTGTCGGTGGGAAGATGGAGGGATTGGCATCTAGCTTCACTCAGGCTGCCATAGCAGGGTATGGTGCCCAGGCTCCTTCTAAAGTTGGCTCTTTTCATGGTCTTTCCCCTTTTGTTTCTCCAATCCCTAGGGAACTCCCCCTCTTCCGCTCTGCCACTCCCGCCATCCTCTCTGGATATTTTTTACCAGCAGCTAGAATTCTTTTTTCTCTCTCTCTGGCTTTCCCTCTTCCCTTAGTTCTCCCCCCTCACGCACACTATGAAAGTTTACCTGGGGGTTGTCTTTGCGCCTCCACTTCCTCCCAAGGAATCATCAACTTAACTAGCTCTCATGACCAGGACCCCCTCTTTCTCTACCCACTCCCAGCCCTCGGATAACTGCTGGGTCTCTCTTTTTGGCTCCCTTGTCTCCTCAGCATCTTCCTCCTCCTTCCTTTTGACTCCTCCTTGTACAGTGGTGTCTCGCATTATGGCGTTAATTCGTTCCAGTGAAATCGCTGTAGAACGAAAACGTACAGTGGTGCCTCGCTTAGCGATGCCTCATTTAATGATGTATTCGCTTAGCGATGAGGTTTCTGGAGCGATTTTGCGCTCCGTTTAACGATGTTCCCGATGGGGAAAATTCGCATAGCGATGTTCGGGACCTTGCCTCGCTTAGCGATGACAGTTTTAGGTCCCCTGTTTTGCTTAGCGATGTTATGTTTTTGCAATTGTAAGTGTGTCTTAAAAGGTTCAAAAACTGTTTTAAATGCTTGGAATCGTTAGTGCACCTTCTAAAATGTGTGCAAACTTAATTTGGCTTTGTTCTGATTCTTTGTTAATTTTTGGTGAATTGCATTGAACCCGATTTTGACAGCTCGTCTTGCGAGGCACCACTGTATATCTTCCTCTTCCCATTCTTTCTTCTCACTGAGCAATACCTTCCTTCGTTGTTGGCTCCATTCCTGGGCTTTCTTCCTTTGGTCCCGGGCTGCAGGCTCTTGTTGGTGTTTCCTTTCCCAGGCTCTCGGGAGCCTCTCAGCTTTCCGCCCACTCCCAGCCTTCCGCTTGAGGGGCTGACTTCAATTTGATAGCCAGGATCCCTCCCTCTCTGGGGGACCTCATGCTCTCGTAACTCTCCACCTCTGGGGGAAGAGAGGACGGCACACCCACTGGGAGGGTAGCCTGCCTGCCTGCCTCTTTTCTCACAATGATGTCCTTACAACGTTTCTACAATACTTTCTACCAGGGTGTTACTTGATTGTTAAAAAAATTAGATAAGGTTAGTGTGAGGATTCAGTATTTTGCTCCAACACTTTGTCAATGAACGCACCCACTCTCCTCGGTTTAGAAATGGGGATAACATTTATTGGGGTATTCAACAACAGTCCAGTGTCAACAAAAGCATTCCAGACATTCTCCTCTTTTGATAACAGGTCTGAAGGGGGGGGGGTGTTTCCAATCATCTGTTTTGAAAGGGTTTTTACCCTGGCTATTCCAGGGCCCGGGCCACTCTGGTGGGGAGTCAGCATTCAGTAGTAGTCCCTCTTCTCCTTCCAGTAGGGGGATTGTATCTTCCTCTCGAACGTCCACCCAGTCATACTCCCTGGGGGGTTCCCCGTCTCCCACAGGACTCCAGGAATCCCCTTTGCTGATCCTCCCAAATCCTCCATTCTAGCCTTTCCTTTCAATCTCTTTCAACTCTCTCTCTTTCCTCTTGTCAGCTTCCTCCTCCATTCCTTAGTTTCTCGTTCTCCCCAATATGAAGGTTTGAGGCTTAACTCACGCTGCCTCCGTGCGTCTCCTCCTTCCTTGGGGACCGACAGTTTCTCTGTCTTTCCGGTCCATGGATCTTCTACTCCAGAAATGGGCAAAGTGCGGCCTGAAGGCTACATACGGCCCGCGAGCCGCTTCTGTCCGGCCCGCGGACAGTTTTGAACATCAAAACCATTTTTGTCTGAAGTTGATCAGTTGCTTATCTTTAACATACCGCAAAAAAACCTCTTTAGTATTTGTGAAGATTAACAAGTTTAAAATAAAAACAATCATAACATCACTGTTTTCATTTTATTTTTAAGTAAAGTTGGTTCGGCCCCCAAACATAGTTCAGATTTTTATGTGCCCCCCCCAGAAATTGCACTCATTTCACATGCTAGCAAGGTTATGCTCAAGATCCTCCAAGGTAGGCTTCAGCAGTATGTGGACCGAGAACTCGCAGAAGTACAAGCTGGATTCCGAAGAGGCAGAGGCACTCGAGACCAAATTGCTAACTTGCGCTGGATTATGGAGAAAGCCAGAGAGTTCCAGAAAAACATCTACTTCTGCTTCATTGACTATGCAAAAGCCTTTGACTGTGTGGACCACAACAAACTATGGCAAGTTCTTAAAGAAATGGGAGTGCCTGACCACCTTATCTATCTACTGAGAAACCTATGTGTGGGACAGGAAGCAACAGTTAGAACTGGATATGGAACAACTGATTGGTTCAAAATTGGGAAAGGAGTACGGCAAGGCTGTATATTGTCCCCCAGCTTATTTAACTTATATGCAGAATACATCATGCGGAAGGCTGGACTGGAAGAAACCCAAGCCGGAATTAAGATTGCCGGAAGAAATATCAACAACCTCCGATATGCAGATGATACCACTCTGATGGCAGAAAGTGAGGAGGAATTAAAGAACCTTGTAATGAGAGTGAAAGAGGAGAGTGCAAAAAATGGTCTGAAACTCAACATCAAAAAAACTAAGATCATGGCCACTGGTCCCATCACCTCCTGGGAAATAGAAGGGGAAGATATGGAGGCAGTGTCAAATTTTATCTTCCTGGGCTCCATGATCACTGCAGATGGAGACAGCAGCCCTGAAATTAAAAGACGCCTTCTTCTTGGGAGGAAAGGGATGACAAATCTTGACAGCATCTTGAAAAGCAGAGACATCACCTTGCCGACAAAAGTCCGAATAGTCAAAGCTATGGTTTTTCCTGTTGTGATGTATGGAAGTGAGAGCTGGACCATAAAGAAAGCAGACCGCCGAAGAATTGATGCCTTTGAATTGTGGTGCTGGAGGAGGCTCTTGAGAATCCCCTGGACTGCAAGGAGAACAAACCTATCAGTTCTAAAGGAAATCAACCCTGAGTGCTCACTGGAAGGACAGATCCTGAAGCTGAGGCTCCAGTACTTTGGCCATCTAATGAGAAGAAAAGACTCCCTGGAAAAGACCCTGATGTTGGGAAAGTGTGATGGCAAGAGGAGAAGGGGACGACCAAGGATGAGATGGCTGGACAGTGTCTACGAAGCAACCAACATGAACCTGACACAACTCCGGGAGGCAGTAGAAGACAGGAGGGCCTGGCGTGCTCTGGTCCATGGGGTCACAAAGAGTCGGACACAACTAAACGACTAAACGAACCCCCAGAAATTAATTGCCCACCCCTTGGCTACCCAGATCCACTCCCGGCCTACTGGCAACTCTCCTTCCTCCTTCTATATATCCCCCAGTCCCGCCTCCACTATCTCCTGTCTTTTTTCTCCCGTGCCCACCAATGTAATCCTGGGTTCTGCAATCATGAGTCCATTCAAACTTCCCTCCAAATTCCCCGGGTCATGTCCAGGAGGTCTCATCTTCCGGGGTGGGGGAACTGGTGGGGTCTGGCTCTCTTTCTCAGCGGTTGGTGGGAGGGACAGTACTCCCGAGAGAGGGTCTCTCTCTCTCCCTCCCTCCTTACAGTTAGTCTGGCAGGATTTGTTTTTGAGAATTCGCCGTTGGCTCCTGATCGTCATTGCATTGTTTTCAAGGTGCTTGCTGACTGGCTGCTTTATAATTTATATAATATCGCTTTTGTTCTCCACGTAGAGAAAAGCACAGAGAAAGAGCTAATAAACCCCATCATGGATATAGAAGATCTTGTTAAAAATGGAAGTAAACACAGGTAACTATTCTCCTCCAGTCTGTATAGCTGTAGAGGAGAGCCTCAAAAGAAAGCAGGCTTAGTGCTGAACTGAAATGGAGAAAATCCACCACCCCCTTCAAAAAAAAAAAATCACTTTCAGAATTTAAAGGTGGGACTCCTGTTTTGGTGACTTGGTATTTTGGGGGGATGTGTTGTAAGAAGACGATGTTCCCTATGGGGAAAATTCGCATAGCGATGTTCGGGACCTTGCCTCCCTTAGCGATGACAGTTTCAGGTCCCCTGTTTTGCTTAGCAATGTGGTTTTTGGTTTTTAGAATGATCAGACCAAATCCATGCCTCCTGTAGTTTCTAAAGAGTGAACAATTCATCTTTGCCCCATTAAACACCTGATTAACAAAACAGATATTTGTTTCATGGGTAATAAAACAAATGGGTAATGATGGAAGAATGATGGATGAGCCTGCTTCCTTTCAGTGCTTCATTGCAGAGAGGCCTCTTCCCGTTCAGGCTTTGCTTCTGTCTTGTGCTTGCTTCCTTGACTGGAAGTTTGGTCCATGTGGATGCAACTGAATATTTTACAGCTTTGCCTCCCTACAGCATTTCTGCCCATATCTGTTTTGTGGGAATTGCATTGTGAAAGATTTGTTCTCAGCATTCTCTTTTATTAAAGGGAACAGAAGAGGGCCCCTGTAAATGCATGAGCTGATCTGCCTTTAAAATCTGGTAGGCCAGTGGGAAGCTGACAAAAAACCCTTATTAAAACCCTCATTAAAAATGACCCAGGATCTAATGCATTGTGTCTATATTTTTTCTCTTTGTATTTAAACAGAGTTTGCCCTTATTATCTCTCCCGGACTTTGAAGCAGCAAGCAGATATCATTTTTATGCCTTATAACTATTTGCTGGACTCAAAGGTACGTAGTGTATATTTTTAAAAAAATATTTGAGTCTGTTTTACTGCGTATTTTAAAAGAATTTTAATGGCTGCGGCTGTAAAGGGAAAATACTTAGCATGTCAGGCAATGACATTACAAACTTAAACACTTACTGCACGGGGGAAAATATGGATATGTGTGGTGTTTCATTCAGAACAATTTACACTAATTTTTCTCTAGCATTTTGATTTCTGAGAACTGGAAATTTTTTTGTATTGTATTTCTTTTCTAGAAAGAGTAAGGTATTTTTTCAGTAGCATTCATCTAGCAATTAAGAAAATTTGTGTTTTGTTCGCCAACCGATACTGAAAGTAATTATGTAGCAGTTCTTGTTTAATTTCATCCTTCCAATATGTTAAATATTGTATTCTCGAAGGCTTTCTTGGCCAGGATCCAATGGTTGTTGTGGATTTTCTGGACTGTTTAAGAACACGGCCAAATAGCCCGGAAAACCCACAACAACCATGTTAAATAGTCTTTGGATTGTTGAGCCAGTGGGCTCCGCATACAGGGGAGAGTTCTGGTAGTTGCAGTTTATTTCAATCCAGAAATATCTCACCTGCTATAGTTCTCTTTTCTGTGACTATCAAGTAAAGCCACTCGATCCTGTTTCCTGTTCTGAGTCCAGCAATGTCAGCATAGTAGGTTTGAGGGACAGGGACTTTAAAAGCCATGGACCTTTACCAAATAATAATGTTATTAAGTTGTTTAAGATCTGAATAATTCACTGTTTTTAACTTTGATGTAGTGTTTTAATTATGTAAACTGTTTTTGTTCCTTTCTTAGGAGAAAGGCAGGGTGAAAATAATTTAAACAAATAAATGCTGAAGGAAGTACTAACAACTACCTGAGGCCTCCTCTCAGGATACTCTGAGATGATACTAGTATACACCTGGTATCTTTTTGAGGCCTAGGAAGCTGTTCTTTCATAATCACCGCAGAGTCTCGTTACCAGATTGTGTGCTCCATATTAATAGGTTCTTGGATATAAGTGATATGGATTAGAAGAATAGGTGTGTTTTCCTTCATTTGTAATCTGGGTTTTTTATTCTTAGTTCCATATAAAACAAATAATGAGGAGAGATTGGTTCAGGCAAACACGATTTTCTGCCGTATTTCCCCGATAATAAGGCAGGGTCTTACATTAATTTTTGCTCCAAAAATGCATTAGGGCTTATTTTCAGGGGATGTTTATTTTTTTCCCTGTACAACCATCTACATTTATTCAAATACAGTCATGTCCTCTTCTTCTGGTTCCTGCACAATGGTGGAGGGCGAGGTTTCACTTAACTGGGGCTTATTTTTTTTTTGAATAGGGCTTATATTCCAAGCATCCTGACCTTATTTTCAGGTTAGGTCTTATTTTGGGGGAAACAGGGTATTTATCTGTATTCCCTAAATAAAAAAGTCCTGTTTGAACCAATCTCTCCTTGTTATTTGTTCTGTGTGGAACTAAGAATAGAAAAGGGACGTGGTGGCACTGCGGGTTAAACTGCCGGAGCCTCTGAGTTGCAAGGTCAAAGACCAGCTGTTGTAAGATCAAAATCCACGTGACAGAGGGAGCTCCCGTTGATCGTCCCATCTTCTGCCAACCTAGCCGTTTGAAAGCATATAAAAATGCAAGTCGATAAATAGGTACCACCACGGTGGGAAGGTCACGCCGTACAGTGTCTAGTCGCACTGGCCACGTGACCACGGAAATGGTCTACGGACAAAATTCTAGCTCTACGGCTTGGAGACAGGGATGAACACTGTGCCCTAGAGTTGGACACGACTGGACTCAATGTCAAGGGGAACCTTTACCTTTAAGAATAGAAAGCCCATATTGCTAATGAAGGAAAATGTACCCATGTCATGGGGGAAGTTGCACTTTATCTCGAAGACCATTAGAGTTTTATTTACATTGAGAAGCCCTGTCACAGAACAGCTGAATTACTTGCGATACCAGTCTTGGGGCAAAGGAGGCTCTAGCTAGGACAGAATAAAAGGAACAGCCCCAAAATATTTGAAGGTTGGTTTTGGGAAGGGGGTGGTTCTTGCAGTTTAATACCTTCCCGAGTGGCACCAAAGTATAGTGGCAAGGATTTTAGATGTGAAAAAAGGTCCTTCAAGTG